TTTGTTTGCTTGTTTTAATGCATAGTGTCACTGTCACCCAGGCCGGAGTGGCAGTGATGTGATCATAACTCACTGTAACCTTAAACTCGTAAGCTCAAGTGATCCTCCTTCCTCAACCTGCTGGGCAGCTAAGACTACAGGCATGTACCACCATACCTGCCTACTTTTCTTTTTTTTTATTTTTTTGTAGAGAGAGTGTCTCAAATACCCTTCTGTCATCGAGGCTGGAGTGCCATGGTGTGATCTTGGCTCACTGCAACCTCCACCTTCCAGGCTCAACAATTCTTGTGTTTCAGCCTCCTGAGTAACTGGGATCACAAACGTGCACCACCATGCCCGGCTAATTTTCGTATTTTTAGTAGAGACGGGCTTTTGCCACGTTGGCCAGTCTGGTCTCAAGCTCTCGACCTCAAGTGATCCACCTGCCTCGGCTGCCCAAATTTCTGGGATTACAGGCATGGGCCAACATGACCAGCTCAACATCTTCTTTGTAAATGTCAAAAACATGTGTAGTGATTATTTCTTATTTTTTCCCCCTTGATCCATCTCACCAGATGTTTGTTGATTTTATAAGAATTTTCAAAGTACCAGCTTCTGGTTTTGTTGATCCTTGCGTTCTGTTTCACTAATTTTTGCACTAATTTTCTTCTAATTACAGTGGTAGCTGCATCCCACAAGTTTTGATAGTCACAGAACTGTATCAAGTCAAAAATATTTTTAAATTTCAATAAGTTCTTCACTGATCCCTGTGTAATTTAGAAATGTTTCTTAATTTTCCTACATTGGAGGGGAAGAGATTTTAGTTTTGTTTTTATTATTAATTTCTAGTTGTATTGAGCTCTTGTCAGAGAATATGGTTTATATTATGTTAGTTGTTTGAAATTTAAGATTTGCTTAATGGCAAAATATATGGTCAGTTTTTGTAAATGTTGCAAGTAAGCTTGCGAATCACATATATTCTCTAGTTTTGAGATCCATTGCTCAGTGGATGTTCATTAGGCCAAATTTCTATAATCATGTTGTACAAATCTATTCTGTTCTTACTGTTTTTTGTTTTAAAGGTGTGGTGTCTTACTATGTTACCCAGGCTGGACTCAAACTCCTCAGCCTCCCAAGTATCACAGGCATGTGCAGCTTGATTTAAATTAAAAAAAAAAAATCAGTGAGAATAGGATTTGTTGATCTCCCCATTATGATTATGGATTTTTCTATTCTTCCTTCTCAGCTTATGCGGTATATATCTTGGGGCTGTGTTATTAGGTGCATCCAAGTTTATAGTTGTTATAGTTACCATGTGAACTCAACCTTGGATCTTTACATAGAGATCTCTGTATTTAGTAATGTTTTGTTCTTAAAATCTGCTTCTATCTAATATTAATGTAAGTATACCAGCTTTATTTTATATGTATTTTTCTTGGACTTTGTCCTTATGTATTTTGAGAAATTGTGATAAAGACCTCATTTAACTAGACTGTGAAAGGACTAGGCCATTCTGGGTAATTTACTTCTCTGAAAACAATTTTTTTTTAATTTTCTTGGTATTTAAAAAAAGGTTTATAAGACATTCTAATTTATCTATCTTAGTTTTCTTTCTTCATTTATTTAGGGGTCTGGTACCTTAGGGATATCATTCTGAAAATTAAACTTTTCTGCATAGGACCATAGATACAGGGTGACTAGAATAGATGACTGGGCTGGATGTGTTCCACAGTGTATTGGGCAGGATTCTCCAGAGAAACAGAACGGGAGGGTATACAGACACACACATGCACACACACCAGGAGAGCCAGTGATGTAAGCCCTTAGACTCGAGACCCAGGAAGAGCTGATGTTCCAGCTTGAGTCTGAAGGCTGGAGAAGACCAATCTTCCATCTCAGACGGGCAGGAGTTCCCCTTCCTCAGCATTTTTGTTCTGCTTTGGTTTCCAGTTGATTGGATGAGACCCTCTCAACAGTAGGGAGGGCCCTCTGCCTCAGTACAATTCAGATGTTAGTCTCATGTAGAAACATCCTCACAGACACACCTAGAATCACGAGGGACTAACTGTCCAGGTACCCCATGGCCCAGTCAAGTTGACACATAAGGTTAACCTTATACATGGCATCTGCTACAACTTGTGTTTCTGAATGAAGTTCTGCAACCAGTTCACTGGTTTTGTAATGTGTGTGTTTTTTTTTTTTTAGACAGAGTCTTACTCTGTCGCCCAGGCTGGAGTGCATTGGCGCCATCTTGGCTCACCACAATCTCCACCTCCCAGGTTCAAGCGATTCTCCTGCCTCACCCTCCCCAGTAGCTGGGATTCCAGGAGTGCACCACCATGCCTGGCTAATTTTTGTATTTTCAGTAGAGACAGGGTTTCACCATGTTGGACAGGCTGATCTTAAACTCCTGGCCTCAAGTGATCTACCCGCCTCAGCCTCCCAGAGTGCTGGGATTACAGGCATGAGCCACTGTGCCCAGCCAATTTTTAATTTTTTTAAGAAATGAAATCTTGCTCTGTCGCTCAGGCTGGAGTGGAGTAGTGCCATCTTTGTTCACTGCAGCCTCGAACCTCTGGACTCAAATGATCCTCCTACCTCAGCCTCCTGAGTAGCTGGAAGCACAGGTGTGAGCCACTATACCCGGCCCTGTTCCTCTTAAAAGCTTAGTAAATAGCAGTCCTTTATACCAGGGACGAGGAGGAGAGATTTTAATGATGTGATAGTTTATTCAGTAAAGGGTACAGAAGTGAGTTAGGGCCCCTGCTCTCTCAGAATTACAGACCTCACAACATAGGCCCGGGCTGGGCATGGTGGTGGCGCCTGAATTCCCAGCACCGTGGGAAAACGAGGCAGGAGAATCTCTGGGACTGGGGAGGCAGAGGTTGCAGTGAGCTGAGATACTGTCATTGCACTCCAGCCTGAGTGACAACAGCGAGACTCTGTCTCAAAAAAAAAAAAAAAAAAAAAAAGGCCCCAGGAGCTCGTTCCCCCCTTCCACCAGCAAAAGGCACCTTCCATGAAGCCGGAAGGGGCCCCCACCAGGCGGGGAATCTGCCAGCGCCTTGACTGATCTTAGACTCTCCACCTCCAGAACCATGAGAAGTAAATTTCTGTTGTGTGTAAGGCAAGCATTATCTTTTTTTTTTTCTTTTCTTTTTTGAGATGGAGTTTCGCTCTTGTTGCCCAGGCTGGAGTGCAATGGCATGGTCTCGGCTCACCACAACCTCTGCCTCCTGGGTTCAAGCGATTCCCCTGCGTCAGCCTCCTGAGTAGTTGGGATTACGGGAATGCGCCACCACGCCTGGCTAATTTTGTATTTTTAGTGGAGACAGGGTTTCACCATGTTGGGTGGTCTGGTCTCCAACTCCTGACCTCGTGATCCGTTCACCTCGGCCTCCCAAAGTGCTGGGATTACAGGCGTGAGCCACCGCACCTGGGAAAGCCGAGCGTTTTCTAACAGGTGTCCAAGTAGAGTAAGACAAGCTTCAACATACGCATTTTGGAGAGAGAAAACATTTACTCCATAACAGTGGTCCTTTTTGTTTTAAATTAACATCCCCGACTTTTTTTATCTTTACCGCCCACTTGCCTCTTGGCAGGCGTAGGGTTTCCCTGGGGCTGCTGTGAGGAGGCAGCACTGGCTGGGAACAGTGGGGCTGGGCGACTGCCAGAGTCACTGTGTGCGCAGCGCCTCCTGCAGCCACGTGGCATCTTCTCCAGCAGCGTGCGCTGTTCCCTGAACTCGGGTGGGCGTCGGGAGTGAGGGCTGGGGGCACAGGGTCAGAGGCCGAGGCAACACCCTCCCTAATGCCCAAGGATCAGAAGGGCTGGGCCACGCGGAGGTTCTTGACTCCTGAGGGCAGCTGGGTGTCCTGCAGGGCAGATGCAGGGGGGGCTTGGCAGCAGGCAGGCTCCCCTGGCACGACCTCTGACCTCTGCCCCTCGAGCCAACTTCCCTCCAGGCAGGAAGCCCATGAGGACAGTGAGGTCTGAGGGGAAGCTTTGGAAGGTCCTCCCACTCAGAGGCCACCAGGAGGTGCTGCTCGCGGGGACGTGATGGCCGCAGCCCTCTTAGTACAGGTCTCTGGCGCCTGACGCAGGGAGTGGGTGTCAGGAATGCCTTGTGCTGGGGTTTCAGCCCTGGCGTCCGGACAGGGCAGGCCGCTGTTGTTCAACCCCAGCTCCTGCCAGCCCAGCCATCTCACGCTGTGAGCAGCCCAGTGGACCCGTGGCAGAGGCACAGGCACGCCACGGCCTGGTTCTCTGCGTTTCCTTGTGGGAGGGGGTTTATGTGGCTGAAGCAGGTCCTGGTGTGGATGGATCTGGCCTCTCAGGCATTGAGGGAGCGCGGGGTGCACCTGCTTCCTCCACCCACATCGCCCGTGGCCTCCCAAAGGCCCTGGCCTCACTCCAGGTCCTGGGGCCACCTCCAGGCTCCATGCACGCCACCTCCCAGCGCCGTCCAGACCTGGAGGTGGCCATCCCTGCCCAGATGGTGACTAGGCTGACCAGCTCAGCTGGCACGGGTGCTGCCCAGGCCCCACCCCCTGCTGCCTGGGCACACACCCCCTGCAGCAGGTGACTCCACCCTGCTACTGTGCTCTGCTGTGCCGGGCACCTGCCTGCTGTACGCCCCTCATCCCCAGGATGCCCCGCTGGCAGGCTTTCTGTGGGGGCGGTGGTGGCCCCGGCGTCTCAGCCTTCAGGTTTTCTTGCATCTGCACACCGGTGGGGGAGAGCAAGCCCAGCAGACTGGGTGCTGCTGGGAGGTGGGAGGCTGCCAGGGGGGCATCAGATGCCAGGCCTTGCAACCTGGCAGTGGCTGTGGCAGCTCAGGGAAGCAAGGTGGCCCTGGGGTGAGGCCGGGGGCTCAGAGGAAGGAGAGCCCTCAGGAGGAAGTGTTGGGGGAGACTGCCAGAGAGCCCTGCCACTGCCCAGTGCCCATTCAGAAGCTCAGCAGGGAGTGGGCTCGGAAGTGGGCAAGGGCACGGTGGCACTGGCAACATCCTGTCTTGCAGATGAAGGGCGCCCTGGTGGAGATCATCCAGCTCGCCAGCCTCGACTCGGACCCCTGGGTGCTCATGGTCGCCGACATCCTGAAGTCCTTTCCGGACACGGGCTCACTTAACCTGGAGCTCGAGGAGCAGAATCCCAATGTTCAGGATATTTTGGGAGAACTTAGAGAAAAGGGTATGTTGTGTGGCTTTAATTCATGTTGGGAGGAGGGAAATGGATCTTTCTTGAAAAGTTTTTTTCTGAAATGCATTTGATTTTTAGACTGTTACGTTTTTCCATGTGTCCTGGTTCCTAAAATATTAACTGTGTACACACCTTCTTCCCGTGTAAGCTGCTGCCTGGCTTTTTGCCATCTTTGAAAACAAACTCAAAACTACCCACAGGCCCCATCCTCGCTGCTGCGGTGTCAGCGGGGGGCGGTGTCGGCGGCGGCGGGGCGGGGGGTGGGGGGGTGGCGGTGTCGGCGCCACTCGCGGTCTCTTCCTGGCTGGCTCCATGAGGGCAGGGGCTCTGCCCATTCAGGTTGTATCTGCAGATCCTAGATTCTAGGGCCCAGAACATTCCCTGGCCCGGAGTACATGCTCAGAAATGCATGTTGAAAATATCAGCAATTCAGTTGTTTAAATGTGAACTGAAAATTGCTTAGAAAATATTCGCAAGGCTAGGCTCCGTGGCTCTCTCCTGTAACCCTAGCACTTTAGGAGGCTGAGGTGGGCAGATTACTTGAGCCCAGGAGTTCAAGACCAGCCTGGGAAATATAGCAAGAACCCATTTCTACAAAAAATAAAAATTAGCTGGGCTTGGTGGCACGCGCCTGTCCTGCCAGGTACTTGGGAGGCTGAGACGGGAGGCTCACTTGAGCCTGGGAGGCCAAGGCTGCAGTGAGCCATGATTGTGCCACTGCACTCCAGCCTGGGTAACACGGTGAGAACGTATCTCTTTTTTTTTTTTTTTTTTTGAGACGGAGTCTCACTCTGTCACCCAGGCTGGAGTGCAGTGGCGCGTTCTCGGCTCACTGCAGGCTCCACCTCCCGGGTTCACACCATTCTCCTGTCTCAGCCTCCTGAGTAGCTGGTACTACAGGCGCCCGCCACCACGCCCGGCTGATTTTTTTGTATTTTTAGTAGAGATGGGGTTTCACCGTGTTAGCCAGGATGGCGTCAATCTCCTGACCTCGTGATCCGCCCGCCTCAGCCTCCAAAAGTGCTGGGATTACAGGCGTGAGCCACCGCGCCCGGCCAAGAACGTATCTCTTAAAAAAAGAAAAAACAATTTGTAGATGGTTTTGAAGAACATGTGTTGATTGGATGCTTGTGCTTTTCTGAGTTTCTCTCCTGCTTTGGACAATTGCCACTGGTTCCTCAGAGCCCAGACGTTGTGCCCCAGCTCCTTCAAGGGCAGCACCCAGAGAGACAGGGTTGTGGGATGGAGACATCGAGGCTGCACACTCCTGCAGAGGCCCTCCTGGCCACCCCCCTGCAGGTGACACCTCTGCCCACCTGTGAGAGCACACACCACGCAGATGCCTCTGGAGCAGTGGTCTGGACAGGTCCACCCCACCCAGTGGTGTCTCTCAGGAGTGTCCCGCAGGCAGGAAGGCCGAGGGCGGTGAACTCTCATCTGCCTGCCTGGGCTTTTTCTCCAGGCGGGACACGTAGCCAGTTCAGGTGGGAGGTTGCCTGTCCCTGTGGGGCAGTTCCTGGGCTCTGAACCCTGGGTGACCATGCGGACTGAGGAGATGGATGTGGGCAGTTTGGATGAGGGCTGGGATTCCAGGAGAGACCACCGGCCTGGTTACCCTTGGGGATGGGAAGAGAGAAGCCCCAGATGGGGGGTCCTTCTTACATGGGGATGGGATCCATTAACATTTTATGTTCTAGAAGTGCCTGGAGCCCTCCAGGAATCACTGTACCATGTCCACTTGTGGTTCTCAATATCCACGGTGCCAAACTTTTTCCAGTTTGCAGCCCTCTCGAGGCACGCCCACCTCTCAGGCGTTCCTGTTCTGAAAACGCTCCTGGGTGTTCTACTGGAGCCGTGGGGAGTCAGTCTCTCGGGGACCCGAAAACAGCTGCAGCTCCCATGACCTAACCCTCGCCGAGGAGGGTGTGGGGCCGGGCAGCCACCAGCTCCTCTCGGCGGGGAGCTCTGCGGCCTGGGCGCCCTAACCGTCGTGTGGTTCTTACCGCGCAGTGGGCGAGTGTGAAGCGTCTGCCATGCTGCCACTGGAGTGCCAGTACTTGAACAAAAACGCCCTGACAACCCTCGCGGGACCCCTCACGCCGCCGGTGAAGCATTTTCAGTTGAAGCGGAAACCCAAGAGCGCCACGCTGCGGGCGGAGCTGCTGCAGAAGTGTGAGTGGCCACGGCCGCCATCGGGCCTTGTCTGTGTAGTTTCCACTCATAGGTTTCTTTAGGTTCTAAGGAACCAAGACTGCCCCTTCAGGATAGCGTTCTGGGCCGGGCATGGTGGCTCACACCTGTTGGGAGCCTGGGGCAGGTGGGTCGTTTGAGCCCAGGAATTTGAGACCAGCCAAGAAACCCCATCTCTACCAAAAATAGCAAAAAAATAGCGAGGCATGGTGGTGGCGTGCCTGTGCTCCCAGCTACTTGGGAGGCTGAGGTAGGAGGATCACCTGAGCCCACGAGGTTGAGGCTACAGTGAGCTGTGATCACACCACTACACTCCATCCTGGGTGAGAGTGAGACCCTGTCTCATAAAAAAGAAGATGAAGTTCTGCCTGAAGTTTTTTTTTTTTTTTTTTTTTTTTTTGAGACAGTCTTGCTCTATCGCCCAGGCTGGAGTGCAGTGGCACGAGCTGGGCTCACTGCAAGCTCCGCCTCCCGGGTTCAGGCCATTCTCCTGCCTCAGCCTCCCGAGTAGCTGGGACTACAGGCGCCCGCCTCCACGCCCGGCTAATTTTTTGTATTTTTAGTGGAGACGGGGTTTCACCGTGTTAACCAGGATGGTCTTGATCTCCTGACCTCGTGATCCGCCCGCGTCGGCCTCCCAAAGTGCTGGGATTACAGGCGTGAGCCACCACGCCCGGCCAAAGTTTTTTGTTAGAAGTTTATTTATCACTATATTAAACTTTGTGTTCTGAAAACATGCTTTAAAAACTTCAGAATTTAAGCCAGTCGTGGTGGTTTATGTAATCCCAGCACTTTGGGAGGCCAAGGCCAGCAGATCACCTGAGGTCAGGAATTCAAGACTAGCTTGGCCAACATGGTGAAACCCCGTCTCTACTAAAAATACAAAAATTAGCCAGGCGTGGTGGTGCAGGCCTGTAATCCCAGTTGCTAGGGAGGCTGAGGCAGGAGAATCGCTTGAACCTGGGAGGCGGAGGTTGCAGTGAGCTGAGATTGCACTCCAGCCTGGGCAACGAGAACAAAACATCATCTCAAAAAAAAAAAAAAAAAATCAAAAACTTCAGAATTTTAGGTTAAGGCATCTCTAATCTCTGTTACCAAATGAACTCTGTGCCAGCTGAGTCCCGCTGTTGGGCACGATGGGTGCCGTTGTGAATGGCTGGAGGGGCACCGTCCTTACTGTCACGTTGCTACCTTCTTGAGTGGCCAGTGCTCTCAATTTGACTTGAAAGATAGTTAATCATTTCATTTAACGTTTTCCCAAAGCACGACAAAGATTACAATAAAATCATTTTATTTTGAATGGTTATAGAATGAATATTTATAATGTACATCAATACCCCGTTTCTAGAGAATCCAAATGAAAGGCTGACAGCAGCTGTGCATGGGTCTTGGCTGGAACAGGCAGCAGCCGGGGCCCAGTGCTCTCCAGGAGGCTCTGTGCAGCCCCAGGGGCACTGGGTAGCCCATGAAGGACTCTGCTGGCCCCTTGGGCCCCACCCCACAGTGGAACACATCCCTTTTGAGGGCCAGCAGCGGCCTCAGGCTCTGCTTTGGGCACTCAGTGTCCCCTGACCCTTCAGCCTCACTGAACCAAGTCAGGAAAATCTCTTTGTTTGTTTCTTCCTCATATTTTTGTGTCTAGACCATGCTGCTGACCCTCAGCGAGGAGGGCACTCCCACTGAGCCAGGGGGAGGCCTGGGTCGACGGAGGGGGCCAGTGAGGCCCCTCAACTCCTCCTCTGCTGCTTCCCCCTGCCGTGGGGTCCTGGGAGGTGCAGCCACAGCCGCCCAGCTCCCGAAACTTGCTCACCTGAGTGAGTTTCTGACTTGTTGTAATGTGCGAGCTGGTGTCAGGCCCTGCTCGAAACAGCTGCTCATTAGAGAGAATGCAGTGTTCACCGCTCAGGCCGTCGGATGAATCCGCTTGACAGAGATGCGTTTACAAGGGCCAAGAGCTCTTGCTCTGAGGATCCCTGACACATGTGACCTCTTCCTTCCAGCCACGGAGACCGCCCAGCAGCTGAAGCGGAGCGCCGGGGTGCCCTTCCACGCCAAGGGCCGGGGGCTGCTGCGGAAGATGGACACCACCAGTAAGGCCCCCACCCCGGTGCCACGAGCCTTGCTTTTAGGGCAGTGCTAAGGGCTTGACCTGGAGACTCGGCTCCCTGTTGGGGAGGTGGTGCATGTGAATGACCCGCAGGCAGCAGTGTTGGGAGCACGCGGGAAAGCGAAGGCGCCGGGGCAGTTGTACCAGCTTCTGCCCTTGGGGAGCGCCCTGGGAGGGTGCGTGGGTGCTGAGACAGGAAGGCCGGGATCGGAGGACAGCGTTGGCCCCTGCTTCTCTGCTGTCGGCAGCGGCTTTCGGCCTTCCCAGCTCGGGCTCTCGGCCCCAAGTGCTGCTCTTGGGTTCCGAGTGTCCCTGGGAGGCTCCGCGGGGAGGGCGTGACCGTGTTCAGCCGCCCGCGGGGCTGCGCCCCTGCGCCCCTCCATCTGCCTTGTGCTCTCAGGGCTGGGTGTGAGCTTCAGCAGAATGGACCCTGATCACAGGAATACGGTGTGCCCTGGGAACCATGGCAGGGCATGCTCACCCCAGAGGGTGCTGGATAGTGACCTGGGGGCCAGAGGGCAGGACGGGTGCCGTCGTGTGCTGAGACAGCTGGGTGAACTTGCAGATGGGTGGGGCTGGAAGGGCACCCTGCATGCAGCCCCCGGACCAGCCTGGCTTAGTTTATTTGGGCTCCCATAATTCCACAGTGTTCACATGGGACCTAGTAGACGGCATCTTGGGTCTGCTGACTGTTGTCGCTGCGTTGGGGGGCCATCCCCAGGTCACATTCCTGCCCACCACAGCCAAGGTTCCACCTTGCTCTCCTCTGCCCCGCCTGGAGCAGACCCTTGTCTTTCCACCCCAACCAGGCATCCCAGTGCTGGGGCTGCACCTGCTGTCCCAGGGAGGGTGGGCCAGCAGTTGAGCAGTGTGTCCAGCCTGTCCCAGTGTGCTAACGGCATGGTCCGCCGGGTACCCTCTCTCCGGTCCTGGCACCATGAGAGCCGCGCATGCCCTGAAGGGTGTGTGTGGGCACTGGTGGGTAATGGCGTAGGCCTCAGGAGCGTCCTCGGGACAGGAGGACGAGGCTCGGGAGGGCAATCCTCGAGCCCAGGCTCCTGGCTTCGCGCCCCTGCCTGTGGACGCACAGGAAGGAGCCAGAGCTCAGCCTCCCGTGCTGGTGAGAGACTCCACCGGGTGAGATCCTGTGGCTGGGCTGGGGTGCCGCTGTCTTTGGTGTCTTGGCAAAGTGTGAGATTGTGGCTCCAGGCACTCCCCTGCTCCCTGAGGTCTGGGATTCTGGGGGTCCTGCCCGCTGCCCGCCAGGGATTTGGCCCTTCCCCACTGCAGCGCTAGCCTAGAAGGGGTGGGATGTTCTGGGCTCAGAGCGGGTGGAGGATGTTTGCCGGTCACTGCTGCTGGCCCTGACAGTTGCTGTCGTCCTCCAGCCCCACTCAAAGGCATCCCGAAGCAGGCACCCTTCAGAAGCCCCACGGCGCCCAGTGTCTTCAGCCCCACGGGGAACCGGACCCCCATCCCGCCTTCCAGGACGCTGCTGAGGAAAGAACGGGGTGTGAAGGTGGGCCCGTCCCCCAGCTCCTGTGGCGCCCTGAGGCCTGCCGTGCCCTGGTGCTGTCACTAAGGCAGGGCTGTGCTTGTCTTGGCAGCTGCTGGACATCTCTGAGCTGGATATGGTCGGTGCTGGCCGAGAGGCGAAGAGGAGAAGGAAGACTCTCGGTGGGGATGGGGGCCTGTGTGGAGGCGGCAGTGGGGGTCCCTGCGGGCCCTGCCCAGGTGGGGTGGGGCGTGTCCACGCTCAGCGGGCAGGGCTGTGCCCCTGTGAGGCTCCTCTTCCGTGGGTGGGCGCCTGCTTTTCTCCTCGCTCCTTGGCGGCCTCTCCTGGGAAGCTATTTGCTTCCCTGTTGCTGCCCCGAGCTGAGCCTGCAGACGCACCTGGGCACTGGTGAGGACGCCTGTTTTGTCCATAGATGCGGAGGTGGTGGAGAAGCCAGCCAAGGAGGAAACCGTGGTGGAGAACGCCACCCCGGACTATGCGGCCGGCCTGGTGTCCACACAGGTAGGGCTCAGGGCCGCACCCCACGTCTGGCACCGCTGCAGGTGCCCCTCTTGTTCCGATTGTGGCCACTCTAGTGTGTTCTGTTGGATAATATATGTATGTACATATGTGTGCGGTTTGTATTTATGCATATATGTGTATATGAGAGGCAGTGTGGGCCGCATCCTGATGTGGACATCAACTCAGGCTCAGAGCGGGAACCTGCCCCACGCTTGCTGGATGGGCTGCTGGGGGAGTCCTCCTCACCCCTGTGCCTCAGTGTCCCCTGTCAGGCAGGACTGGTGGAACCTGCCTTGCAGGTGGCCGTGAATGGGCACAGGACAGGCCTGTGCGGCTGCTGGGTGGTCAGAGGCCTCGGTGTCCTGGAGACCAGGCCCTGCCTGCGGGTAGGAGGCAGCCGTGGGGCGCGGCAGGTGCACAGAGGCTACAGTGGGTCGTCTGAGGCCAGGGCCTGGAGGAGGCCACACTGCAGGGTCACTTGGGGATAAGAAGCTCCTTCCTTCCCCTCGCGTTCGGGGTTTCTTTCCATGAGCCTCTTCCTTTTATATCAATGCTTCGTGGTAAGAAAAAGCATCAGTTCTGTCCTCAGAGATGGGCAGTTTGGGCTCCCCAACCCCTCCCCTCTCCTACACAGGAGCCGCTCAGTCCCCAACTCTGCTGGGGCACCAGGAGCCAGGGGTCCCTTTGCCCAGCCCAGGGAGCTGTGGACAGTGGCCCCCACCTTCCTGCTGTAGCTCGGGGCGGGGGCCACAGCTTGTGGCAGTGGAGCTCCAGGTCGGGCCGTGAGTTAGCACATGCCGGAAGCATGGCCTCTTCTGGGAGAAACCTTAAACTCTGTGTTCCAGAAACTTGGGTCCCTGAACAGTGAGCCTGCGCTGCCCTCCACGAGCTACCTTCCCTCCACGCCCAGCGTGGTTCCCGCCTCCTCCTACATCCCCAGCTCCGAGACGCCCCCAGGTGAGTCTGCTGGCCCCAGTCTGGAACCAGCTGAGCTGCCCACCAGGACGTGGCCTTGCCCATGGGCGCTGCCAGGACTGCGGTTCCCACTCCTGCATCTCTGTTGTCCCCCACCCGAGGCAGATGCCCTGCTTGTCAGCTTGAGCTCCACGACACAAACCAGCTGCTTTGCCCTGCCCGGCCCGTCCTGGGCACAGACAGCTGCCCCAGGACACCGCAGGAAGGGGATGGGGCTGGCAAGGGTCTTCTGCCAGGTGACCCAGCTGTTGTTGCTGGGTAGCCGGGAGGGGAGCCGAGGGCCATCCCCCCTAGATGGAGGGCACTGCCAGGCTCACGGCACCTCAGGCCATGTCCTGGGCCCCAGGGGCTTGAGAATACGGCCTACCTCTCTTCCCACCAGTGCCTGCGGTATGGGGACCTGCTGCAAGCCAGCAGCTGGCCAGAGTCCAGACATGTTATCTGCGGGTCTGGAAAGGCCTGAGACCACTGGCCTTGCTCTGACTGGGGCTCCTGGGCCTGTGCCCTGGCTGGGGGCCACAGGGAGTTCTCGTCCGAGGGTAGCAGGACAGAGAAGGGGAGCTGAGCCTGTCACCTCCAGGAGCGCTAGGGTTTGGGAACAGGGTAGCGGTCCAGCCCCCTCACCAGGCCCCGGTCTACCTGCAGCCCCCTCCTCCCGAGAAGCCAGCCGCCCACCAGAGGAGCCCAGCACCCCGAGCCCTACGCTGCCAGCGCAGTTCAAGCAGCGGGCACCCATGTACAACAGCGGCCTGAGCCCTGCCACACCCACGCCTGCAGCGCCCACCTCGCCTCTGACACCCACCACACCTCCGGCTGTCGCTCCTACCACTCAGACACCCCCGGTTGCCATGGTGGCCCCACAGACCCAGGCCTCTGCCCAGCAGCAGCCTAAGAAGAACCTGTCCCTCACGGTAGGTGTACCCTGGCGGGGCCCACAGGCCACCAGGTAGGTGGTATGGCCCTGGTCACCTGCTGTGGCATGGGGGTGCCACAGTGCCTGCAGGGGGATGCAGGAGGTGGTCCTGGTGGGGCCCTGGCACCCACACCCCTCTCCCCGCTGTAGAGAGAGCAGATGTTCGCTGCCCAGGAGATGTTCAAGACAGCCAACAAAGTGACACGGCCCGAGAAGGCCCTCATCCTGGGCTTCATGGCCGGCTCCCGAGGTGTGTTCATTAGGCAGGAGGGTCTGGGGTGCACCGGGCCGGGTGGGAGGCAGGCTCTTTGGCCCCAGACACCCACCCAGCAGCTCCTGCTCTCCGCAGAGAACCCATGCCAGGAGCAGGGGGACGTGATCCAGATCAAGCTGAGCGAGCACACGGAGGACCTGCCCAAGGCGGATGGCCAGGGCAGCACCACCATGCTGGTGGACACAGTGTTCGAGATGAACTACGCCACGGGTCAGTGGACACGCTTCAAGAAGTACAAGCCCATGACCAACGTGTCCTAGGGCCACCTGCCTCACAGCTGGCCCTCACTTGGGGGCTCCAAGGGACGATGGCTTTGCCGGCTTAAATTAACCAGACAGCGGACACCTGGCCCACGAGGTCCCCCAGCCACCGCCCTGCTGCTGACCCAGCCTGTTTTAAGTTCTGGATGCATTTCTCTGGGGTGTTTTGGGCTTATTTTTAAAATTTTAATATGGGTTCCTTTTTGTGTGATTTAAGACACTTTTTGGACTCAACGTTCCATTTTTGAATGTAGTAAATTAACCAAAAAAGTTACAACTTCCTAATTTTAGTGACAGCTCTGCCTGTTAGACTCTTTTTAAAATCTTTTCTATTTTCCTCGCTGGGGCAGTGCCCTTGGCACGGTGGTACTGGGGGTGGGGCAGGGACACCTGACCACACCAGAGTGTGGGAGACGGCAGGCCTTGTCCCCTGCCAGTGCCTGCCTGGGAGTTTTGTATTCATCTTTTGTACAGTCGTGGACATTTAAGACAGTATTTGGGTACCTATTTTCATTGTAAAACTATCTGAACCATTAAAGTTTAGCTTTTCTAAAGAAAGCCACCATGGCTATGTTTGGGGCCAGCTTGTCCTCCCTGCTCCGGGGACCCAGTCCCTCCCTAGGCGGCCGTCAGGATGGGGTGGTCCAGGGCTGGGGGCTTCCTAGGACACCCTGGCCCACAGGGTGAGGAACAGGTAGGGTCAGCCCTCGGGGCACTCCCTTGACTTGGCTGCAGGCCTGGGGACCACCCGGCTCAGTCGACTGCAGGGCTGCAGGACAGCAGTGGTTCCTGCTCTCCAGACCATTTCGCCTTCAGTGGGAATTTGGGAAGCAAATTATTTCTGAAAGAAGAAAGCATTTTTCCAAAGTCAGTTACGCCTGCTATTTCCAGTATTTGTTATACTTCCCAAGATGGCGCTGCCTCTCCCCAGCGGGTCAGGTCAAAGGCAAAATGACACGGTCAGGACAGGGAGCCCCACCCATGGGAAGCATCAGCGCCACGCCCAATCTTTGCAATTCAAAGTAACTGGAAATAAAAAATCAAACAATCCCATGTAAAATAAGTTAAGAAAAAAAGCCTTTAAAATGTTTTTAATACAAAAATACTCATACACAATTTTCCAAACACAGCTTTCCATTTTAAATGCTATTTTCCCCCAACTGGCAAGTCTCAAATCTCTATTTCAGTATATCCCCCCCCAAAAGTGAATTTCAAGTTTTTAAGTCTAACTATCAAACCTGGTGACAGCACCCAGTATTCCTAAAAGGAATCTGACCTTATATTGTATGAAGTTTAGACACCAATAGGCACATTTAAGTTTGTATTTAATTTCTGACAGGGCATTTCACACCTCAACAGGGTCTGGTGAGGCCGTGACACCCCATGGACACAGCATTTTACTCTACTGACTAACAGTCATCAACTACACTCATAGGATCAAGATATTTGGCAACTGACAGTCATTTGCATTAACTTGAATTATAAAACATTTAATTCTTGAAAATAAGGTAGTTCTGGAAGATGGGCACTGCGCACACTGGGGTTTAGACGTCAAGACAAACACCATGAAGGGAACCCAGACAGCCGCGGACGGGTGTCACCAAAAGAAAGGCTGGCCTGAGGATGGACAGCTGGGTTCTCACTTCAGGTGCCTGAAGAGTTTCCCCCACAGGTGACTACGTTCTAAGCTGCCCAATCGGACATATCCCCTGTGACCACACGCGGGTGGGTATGGGTTTAGGTGCAGATCCTGGTTTTGGATGCCAAGGAATCCTGAGGGATTGGGGCAGTTTTTGTGTTTTGCTTCACATTAATGACAAAGAATTGAAGCCGATGATCAGGAAGCCACCGCATCCTCAGAACAAAGCTGGGCAGGGCCGGGAGCCAACCACACCCACAGTCAGAGCTGGGGGCCTGGTCAGCCGCGGTGGAGAGAAGCCCTGCAAGCTCAGGGCCGCTACCCCAAAGCCTGGCTCCACCGAGTTATCAACGGGTATTCTAGAGACATTCAAAGTTAGTGTTATTTGCTCATTAGTTTAATAGGTTTTGGAAAGGGGGAGGAACCATATTTAAAATTTTTGCAGTATTTCCTTCAGAAAGATCATAAAATAATTTGGAAGTATTATCAAAGCGATTAAAAGTCACAATATTTCACTACTGTCAAAAATAAGTTAATATCTGCTCCCCAAAGTGCACTGCAAAGCCGATTCTGATGTTTTGACGTAAGCATTATTAGTCCCTTAGCTGCCGGAAAGGATCTTTCGGGCAAGTGACAGCGAGGCCCCGGAGCCTTAGACTCTAAAGGCCAGGGCCACACGTATGTGGGGACACTGCCCGGCCTGTCCCTATAACAACCTTCCAAGTTAGGGCATAAGGAGCATAAATCTATGAGCCGATCCAGTATTTTCTTAGGACAATTTGAGAGAAGTTAGAGTCTGAACTGGAAAGCACTCCCACCCCATCTTAACCAGCGAGTGCATCTCAGAGGCCACGGCCACACGAGCAAGTCAGTGGCCTCTCAGCTCGTTTCCCCTGCGTCCTCTGTGTAGTTAACTTTGCTGCGGGCTGTGATGGGAGAAGGGACAGCCACCAGTCAGTGAAACTTCCAGTCAGTGCTCAGGGAGGCGTGGGACCCTGTAGGCCACACACCCCAAACCCCACGCTTACAGGTCACAAAACCACAGAGTAGCCAGTCTCAGGTCCAAAGACACTGCAGTTTACCAAGGCATGAAAGATGCCACAGAAAATTAACAGGAGCCTCAGCAGCAGTTTTCAAGGGGAGTTTTGTAAACTTCTCTGCAATATGGATGTGTCCTCCTTAGGTTATTTTAAGAAAAGGCCATAAAAAAGCACCTGCTGCTGAATGTTCTCTCCCTCCTCCCTCCCAGACAAGCAGCCCCTCAGGGCACATGGGCAGAGGCACACACCGTGCCCCCTTCTCAGGGTGCTCCAGACTTCCCAGGGTCGAGGATCCCTCAAGAAAGAACCAATTCTTACAACATACGTAGTACTCAGGTCTCACTTTGTAGAACTGGACCTTTTAAAAACTAAAGTGAAACCTCACAGGAAAGTGGGTGTCAGACCTGGCCTAGACCAGTGCCCATGACACACGGGCAGGGCACACACACCTGCCAGGCAGGCCTCCACCCCCACGACCACACCTCTCAGTGGGTGCCCTGGCGGAGGGCGACTGATGAGCAGAGTCTGCGTCTTCCATCAGCAGACCCAGAGTGCTGAGATGGAAGCCACTCTGAGTCTCTCTGGAGACCCGCGTGCTGTGGTCCCTGGGGCCTGCCGCGCCCTGCGGGGCTCCCTAAGTTGTCACTTCCTGTGCTCTAAGCGGACTGTGGTCTCAGGCCCTGTGGAAGTCACTCCTTTCGCCATGGAACTCAGGGTCGCATCAGTAAAGACACATTTCAGTCGGTGGTGATTTGTGAAATAGGTTTAGCAAAAATATATTGAGAATAAAAATCAGAAACTGGTAAAGAAAAGCCAAATGAAAAAAATATACAAAGTTCTCCCCCAAATGTTGATAAGAACCTAGCGAGTTCAGAAGATAGGCCCAGGTGAGACGCGGCCCAACCCGGCCAGGCCTCGAAAGTGCTCCGCGGGAACTACACGCTGAAGTGGACGTGTTATTGGCATTTCATTCAAATCCACGAGGAGAAAAAACGACGGGAGGAAATCTTACAACACCATTGCTGCCACCACCTGCGTGGCCAGCTTCTCACTAGGATGGAAAAGAAGCATTTCTGAGGAACAATTCACATTAGTACAAAAAAATGATACAGCCGTTTCCAAAGAGCAGAGTAATGATCACAATGGCGGTTTCGAGGAATCCAGGGTCAGTCCTCACACAGGCCTTACCCGGCCTCTCCTGAGTGGCGACGGCGCTGAAAGCAGAAGCAGAGCAACGCGAAGCCGAGTTTCTAGCGACCCTCGGGAAAAGCCTACGCTACACATTTCAGAGGAGATTAAAACATTCCATATGCCAATTAACTTTAACCTAAAAAAATAAGAGTGGGAGGGAACCTTGACATTCTGAGAAATTCAAGTGTGGCGGTAACGCTGAGGAGTGAGGCTGTTTGTCCAGGAACGCTGAGCTGGGCTCAGACGGTCATCAGTGCAGACGCAGCAGATGCTGCTGAGGATGGCTCAGTGGTGGGGAGGCGCTCCCTCCCGAGGAGGCCTGTACGTCTGTGTCCTGGCGGCTCGAGCTGGGTCCTCTGGGCCAGTTCATGCTCGCCCTCTCCCGCAGGCAGGGCCGGCTGCCCTACACCGCCCGTGGATCCGGCCAAGCTGCCGCCTGGCGCTATTTGCCCTCTGTGACTCTCCGCCAGCCCCTCCGCCGCCGCCTCTTCCCCTTTGGCTTCCCTGGCTCTGGCGGGGGCTTCTCAGTCTTGGCGCTTCTGACCGATGCCGCCCCTAAGTCATGCTCACAGCAGTAGGACCGCCCGTCCGGGGTGCAGCTGAAGGCTGTCCCGTCCTGGTGCTCCTTACAGAATGAATTGGGGCAGAAGTGGCAAAATGAAGTTGAAGGTTTGCCACACACGTCACAATGATGCCAAGGACATTCCCACTTCCCTGCAACAGAACACAAGATATGAGCACACAGAAGTGACGGAATCACAACTTCAACTTTCTCATGGTTGAAGATGACTTACGACTGTCAGGTCAAATGAACACAAATTAAAATAGTGCTGGCTCCAGCTAACAGGATGGGCAGACAAATTGTCTCCACTGCAGTCCGGGCAGGCTCCCTGGCAGGGCCTGTTGACTCCACAGTACCTGCCAGGCCCCTAAGGACCACCTGTTAACATCTCTATGTTTCAGCAACTGAGACAGGAGCTGTGCCGGGTGCAGGAGTGTCCCCCGGCCCCGCGTGGACAAGCAGGGGCTGCTTTGCTCATTTTCATGCCACCTGTCCTCTCCCAAGAGACTGATTTTCAACTTGGGTATTCATCTTTCTGGCATGACTCTGTAAAGGCTCTGTCAGGTTAGGGACCACCCTCTCACACCCATGGCCAACACTTTATCGTGTGTCATCTTTACCATACAAAAGTGTTGTTTTTCACACAAATATCTGAATTCTTTTTTTTTTTTTTGAGATGGAGTCTAGCTCTTTCGCCCAGGCTGGAGAGCAGTGGCACAATCTTGGCTCACTGCCGCCTCCGTCTCTCGGGTTCAAGCGATTCTGCCTCAGCCTTCCAAGTAGCCAAGATTACAGGCACCCGCCAGCACGACCAGCTAATTTTTGTATGTTTAGTAGAGATGGGGTTTCACCATGTTGGCCAGGCTGCTCTCAAACTCCTGGCCTCAAGTGATCCACCCACCTTGGCCTCCCAAAAGTGCTGGGTTTAGAGGCATGAGCCACCATGCCTGGCCTGGATTTTCTTTTTGTAGTTTTTTTGGTTTGGGATGGAATCTTGCTCTGTCGCCCAGGTTGGAATGCAATGGCACTATCTCGGCTCTCTGCAATCTCGGCTCACTGCAACCTCCACCTCCCGGGTTCAAGCATTTCTCCTGCCTCAGCCTCCCGAACAGCTGGGATTACAGGTGCGT